GGGACGGGGGCGGGGGCCCCACCCAGACCATGGTGGACCGCCTGAAGCGGCTGCACAATACGGACGGGCTGCCCAGGTCCGCCCTGGCCCTCCAGCAGCCCTTGGACCTCACTGTGCCCTGGCCTGCAGCCCTGCTCTCCGCTCAAACATTCGGTCCAGCTCCTCTGAGGGACCTTGCCTCGCTCCAGTCCCGCACCATTGGCTCTTCCCAGCTTCCACCCTGGGGGCGGGGCGGGGGGGGGAAAGCTGCCCGTGGGAAGGGGCTTAAATCTACTGGAGACAGAACTCTCCTGGTGTGTCCACAAGTGGCTTTGCGTGGACAGGGAGCATTCTGGAGGGGGGTGGGGTGCTCCTTTCTGTCGGGGCTGGATCTCTCGTCCACTCCGGCATGGAGGAAGGGTGGGCCACATGGTACCCCCAAGGCTGGGCGACCCAGGCTGTGGTCTCCCTCAGGGTGCAGCTGTCTTCTCCGGGGCGACTCTTCTCCGCACTGGAGAGCAGCTCAGGGCAGCTGTGCACGTGGGTTGGGGAGCTCTTCCTGGAGCTACACAATGGCACCTACACCACGCATGCCCAGGTCAGGAGCTGCTCCCTGAGCCCAGCAGGGAGCGTGTGCCCTGGCTCTGTGGGGGCCAGAGTCCAGTCCAGACCTGGGGGGAGAGGCTTGTGTTCCGGGGCGGCACCAAGAGGAGAGAAGTACCAGAGCCAGGCAGGCCAGGGGCCTGGAGGAGGCAGGGCTGAGTTGTCCCTGAAGAAGGCAAGCTGCAGGCTGAGTGGGGGGCAGGTCAGCCACCAGAGGTTTTATCTGGGAGGCCCTGGGGAGCCTCAGGGGTTCTGAGCATGGGAGGGCTTTGGAAGGTGGCCTGGGACTGATCCCCCCACCCCAACCCTGCACAGATCAAGAAGGGGAACCGGGAGTGCGAGCGGATCCTGCACGACGTGGAGCTGCTCAGCAGCCTGGCTGTGGCCCGCAGCGCCCCGTTCCTGTACCCAGCAGCCCAGTTGCAGCACCTCTGGAGGTCAGCCCGGCTTCTGCCTGCCCCCGCCACCGCCCCGAGCTCACTGCAGACAGCTTCCCCATCCCCACCCTTGGCTCCCGCAGGCTCCTGCTCCTGAACCAGTTCCATGACGTGGTGACCGGAAGCTGCATCCAGCTGGTGGCAGAGGAGGCCATGTGCCACTACGAAGGTAAGGTTGATGACCCGCCTGCCGCTGTCGCCGACGCCTGGGGCAGAGCCCAGAGTGTGTCCTGTGGGATACTCGGGGCCCATCCCAAGCCCACCGCCCACCCATGACCAGCCGGTCTCCCCACAGATATCCGTTCGTACGGCAACACACTGCTCAGTGCTGCCGCTGCAGCCCTGTGCGCCGGGGAGCCGGGGCCTGAGGGCCTCCTCATCGTCAACACGCTGCCTTGGAAGCGCACTGAAGTGTTGGCCCTGCCCAGGCCTGGTGGGGCCCACAGCCTGGGTAGGAGCTGGGGGGAAAGGCTGCTGCTGCAGTAGGAGGGACCGAGGCCAGACCCCGGGGTGGGGACACTGGCCCGGGGCTCGCTGCCCCAGGACACCCGAGGCTGGAGGGAAAGAGGGGGAGGACCCACCCACCCCTCAGGCAAGGCTCCTGGAGGGTCAGGGAGGCTGCACTGATGCCCAGGCTTCATCCCCAGCCCTGGTGACAGTGCCCAGCATGGGCTATGCTCCTGCCCCTGCCCCCACCTCACTGCAGCCCCTGCAGACCCAGCAACCTGTGTTTGTGGTACAGGAGGTGAGTGTGGGCACATGCTGGTGGGCGGGGCCTCTCCTGGGCCATCCCTGACAATGTGGGGATTCTGAGCTCCCCAGCTGGAGCAAGTGGTGAGGTGGGGGCTGGGCTGGGGTGCTGTTCGTGGTGGGAAGTCCCCGCAGACTCAGCTTCAAGGACCCCTCCCGCCAAGACCGACGGTTCTGTGACTCTGGACAATGGCATCATCCGGGTGAGGCTGGACCCAACCGGCTGCCTGACGTCCCTGGTGCTGGTTGCCTCTGGCAGGTGCCAACTCCTCATTGCCCTCTTCCAGTGCCTGGCGGGTGGATCCCAGACCCCGTTTCCTCTGTCCCCTGGTCCCAGTACTGCCCATGGCAGCCCACCTGTGCCTCTGGACCCACACAGGGCAGGGCAGGCTGGGCTAGGAAGGAGTCCCCTTGTCCCCTGGGCCTCTCCCTGCCCCCACCCCACCTCAGGGTCATAAAGCACCAATCTCTGCATCCTGCCAGGGAGGCCATTGCTGAGGGCACCGTGGGGAACCAGTTTGTGCTGTTCGATGATGTCCCTCTGTACTGGGATGCATGGGACGTCATGGACTACCATTTGGAGACACGGTTCGGTGTGGGCAGGACCGGGGTGGTGGTGGGTCCCCTCCATCAGCTTGCCCTGGCTCAGCTCCGCCACCCCATCCCACAGGAAGCCAGTGCTGGGCCAGGCAGGGACCTTGGCAGTGGGCACTGAGGGTGGCCTGCGGGGCAGCGCCTGGTTCCTGCTGCAGATCAGCCCTAACAGTCGGCTCAGCCAGGAGGTCGTGCTGGACATTGGCTGCCCCTATGTCCGCTTCCACACTGAGGTAGCAGAGAGCAGGGTGGTGGGCATCTATTCCCGGGTGTGGCTGGGGAGGAGGGAGCTGCCCAGGCCTGTGTGTGTCTGTCCTTCCACCTCAGGTGCACTGGCATGAGGCCCACAAGTTCCTGAAGGTGGAGTTCCCCGCCCGCGTGCGGAGCCCCCAGGCCACCTATGAGGTTCAGTTCGGGCATCTGCAGCGGCCCACACACCACAACACCTCTTGGGACTGGGCTCGATTTGAGGTCTGACATGGGGTGGAGTGGGGTTTGGATCCTGCCCAGCTGGGAAGAGACTGGTGTGGTGTTGGGTCAGGAGGAGGTCGCTGATCAGTATTTGCTGGCTCCTGTGTGCTAGGCCTTGTGCTAAATGCTGTGTTCGGTTTTTGACACTCGTGCCCATTTGGTGGGGGGTGAATTCTATTATCCCCATTTCACAGATGAGGAACTGAGGCCTAGACAGGTTGGATGGTGTGCCCAGCGCCTCCTGTGGTGAGAGCTGGAGCTCCATCTGCGGTCCCAGAGCTGGCTCTCACTGTGGCCGACGGGAGCTCGGGAGCCCAGGGAGGGGGCGGGGCCACCAAGCGGCTCTGGGATCTGCCCTCCAGGTGTGGGCCCACCGCTGGATAGACCTGTCAGAGCACGGCTTTGGGCTGGCTCTGCTCAACGACTGCAAGTACGGCGCGTCAGTCCGAGGCAACGTCCTCAGCCTCTCGCTGTGAGTGGAGGGCCCGCCAGGCCCCGGGGGGGTGGGGGGGGCCCGGCATCGGGGCGCGGGTCCTCCGGGGCCAGAGCCTCCGCAGTTCCAGCCCGGCCCACCCCCAACCCTCCCCACCCCAGCTTGCGGGCACCGAAGGCCCCCGACACCACTGCCGACATGGGACGCCACGAGTTCACCTACGCGCTGATGCCGCACAAGGGTGGGTGCTGCGGCCCCGGGCCACCTCTCTGCCCTGCTCTGAGCCTCAGTTTCTCCCAGCGGCCCGTGGGCAAAACGCCAGCACGCCCACGCCCCCACTCCCATTTCCAGGCTCCTTCCAGGACGCTGGCGTTATCCGCGCTGCCTACAGCCTCAATTTCCCCCTCTTGGCACTGCCTGCCTCGGGCCCGGCGCCCGCCGCCTCCTGGAGCGCCTTCTCCGTGTCCTCGCCGGCGGTCGTGCTGGAGACTGTCAAGCAGGCAAGGGGCGGGGCGGCAGGGGTGGGGGCGGGGCCCCGTCTGGGTCCACCCCGGCCCCGCCCACCACCCGCCTCCCTCCGCAGGCGGAGACCAGCCGGCAGGGCCGCACGCTGGTCCTCAGGCTGTACGAGGCCCACGGCAGCCACGTCGACTGCTGGCTGCACACGTCGCTGCCGGTTCAGGAGGCCGTCCTGTGAGTGGGGGCGCGGGGTAGGGGTGGGCGTCCTGCCCTCGCGGGGCCCTCATGACCCCCCCTGTTCTCCAGCTGCGACCTCCTGGAGCAGCGCGACCCTGCCGGCCACCTGCCCCTTCAGGACTCCCGCCTGAAGCTCACCTTTTCTCCCTTCCAAGTGCGGTCTTTGTTGCTGCTGCTGCAGCCCCCTCCAAACTGAGTCCCTGACGGTGGGGTTTTACGTGTGGAAGGCTTCGGGGGCTCCTCACTTCTGCCTCCCCAGCCTGAAGCAAGGATCAGTCACCTCTTGAACAATAAACCCTTGACTCAGGAGCCCTGCTAGCAGTAGTTCCTGCTCACTCTCCTCGGGGCCTGTCCTCAGGGAGGAAGCCTTTTCCTCAGGCGTTTGGGGGCAGGGGCAAGATCCGAACTTATCAGTGTGTGCAGGGTCTGGGTTGCAGCCCCTACCCCCCCCGAGATTTGGGATATCAGTGACCACAAGCTGGCAAAGAGACCAGGGAGGGGAGGAAGCCAAGAGGGTGGATTCCGGCTGGCCGCCCACTAGGAGAGGAGCACTGGCCGGCAACAGTGCTGGGAATTCTGGACTGGAGGAGCTGTGGGCCCCCCCCCCCCGCCCGGGGCCAGGGTCTCTACACCACCTCCGAGAGGCTGTACCTGCAGAGGCAGGCCATCCTCTGAGAGCCAGGGCCTGGAAGACTGGGATGGGGCTCAGTCATCCTTGCCCAGGTGGCTCTCCTGTCTCCAAGGTCAGGCAGTAGTTTCTCCCAGGTTGGCCTTCCTAGACCTTCGGCAGCCAGCCCAAGAAGTGCCAAGAAATTCAAGTGTATTAGTTTATTAAAAATGACAGCATTTTTCAGGTGGACTTAAAAAATGGGGAAGGTGGGGTACAATTAAAAACATCAGAGGTGTGCAGAGAACAGCCACAGGGCCAGGGGCACCTGGCCCCCCAGCAGCTCCAGCCTGCTTCCGGTGAGCCGCCCAGGCCCCCCCGCAGGGCTCGGCAGAGGAAGCAGGTGGACGTGAGCAAGGAGACCCTCCGGCTAGGAGGCTGCCGTCCCCTCATTCTCCAAGGATGGGGTGTCAGCCTTGATCCTTCGGGGTCTGCGGTGGCCTGGGAGGAGGGCAGGTGAGGTGGCCGCTCAGACCCCAGGCTGAGGGCTGCCCCAGCGGCCTGTCCCTGCCACCTCCGTCCGCAGTCCTCCCACCTGCGCTGCCCCCAGAGCAGCGTGCTGAGCAAGGCCAACCTGCGGCTGCTGGTCGCCTCCTCCTCTTTGCCTTCTCAGGGACTCGGGGGGCCTCTGGGCCCTGCTGGAGGCTGGTGCCCTCAGGCTGCTCTGCTCTACTTTGCTCAGGAGGGCCTCTGCTAGCCCCACATGTGCCGGGAGGGGCCGTGCTTGGAAGGAGAGGGTCCTGAGTAGAGGAGATACAGGTCCCCAAGGGGCTCCGTGAGCAGTTCAGAGGTTGTTGAGGACCCACCATTGCCCCCCATTGTCAAGGGAGGGCGCCCGGGAGGTGCAGCTGGCGGGGCAGGGGAGAATGCAGGGAGGGGCCATACCTCCATTCTGTGCTCAGGCCCCTGCTGTGCTCCCTTGGATTTCTTCTTGCGGGACTTGCCTCCTGCAGGACACTGACACTGGGGCCGGAGGGTCCTCTGCCCTCAGCCCCCTTTATGCAGACTCCCGCTCTGGGGTGACTCCCAGGGGTGGAGTGGGGACTGGGATGGAGAAGGGTGATGTAACTCTTGCAAGCAACTAGTCCTTCCTGCTCTCCCAGCTTATTACGTTAAGAGTAGCTTACCTTTGGGTGCCAGGGGTCCAGGATCCCCCTAAAATGGAATGAGGAGAATTCAGGAATCAACCTGGCTGGGGCAGGGGGAGTTTTCCTTGGAGAGGCAGAGCTCACAGCTATCCTTCCAAATCAGTGGAGCTACTCCCCTAAGAAGCCCCTCTGACTGCCCCGTTCTCCGCAGGTGGGAGCCACATCAACAAGGCCACCTTGCCTTGGGCTACTCTACTGGCTGGGACCCTGGGGCTGAGGAGAGGAAGGGTAAAGCATGGGGGGCAACGGCAGGCCCTGGACATCTGCTCCTGGGAGACCCCAGCTCCTGCCCTGCTGTGACCCCAGGTCTGGCCACCCCACTAGCTTCCTCGGGATCTCCATTTGCCTATGTGAGATTAGGGCCCAAACCTGGAACCAGATGGTCCGACCACGCCGGTCCCGCAGGGAGCTCATGCCGGGCATGCCATAGCACTGAAGCCATGCTCGAAAGGCGGCAAAGTCCTCCTCCCCGCTCTCCGGCCCGTAACCTTTGCCCCCTGTGGGACAGAGGAACCAGGCCGAAGTCAGGGCGGACTCAGGCTGGGAGGAGGGGGAACCTGGTCGGCCTGGCCCAGACCTCAGCTACTAGCTGATGGACTGAGTCAGGGGGCCGAGGCTCTCCCTCCTCCAGCTGTGTGCCCTCAGGCTGGTGGCTTACCCACTCTGGGCCATGGCTTTCCCATCATGGGGTGGGGTGAATAATCCTTGTCCTGCCGGCCTCCTGGGCTGCTCAGAGGACATAGATACCTAACAAGTGAGGAGGCTTGTTGCTTGTAGCAACAACTAGATCTACAGACATCCATACCCCAGGTAGGGCAGGAACTGCCCTGGGGTTACACAGTATATTGAAGCAGAGGTAGAGCCATCTTTGGCTCCCAGGCCTCACCCAGCTGGACCACTTCCTTGGGCACGGAGTGACACAGTTCCAGCAGGTCTGGGTTCTGCAGCTTAGCCCTGATCTTCTGGCTCAGAGTCAGCTCCGGGCTCTGGAGAAGGGGCAGAGGCAGGAACTGGCTGTCAGCATGAGGCAGGGCCACTCAGGAGGCAGCTGAGCAGTGGGGAGCAGAACCCCAGGAGCTTGGCAGGACTGAGAGACAATCCATCTGCCCCCGACCCCCGACACTGCAGAGAAAGGGAAATGGGCCCAAAGCTGGAGACCTAACCCAGCCTATACACTTGTTGGCCTGCTCTGATCGATCTGTGCGCTTTCCTCCCCACACCCTCACCAGCCTGTGCTGCTGCAGCGCCTCCAGAACCTTGCGGGCCTTCTCGAAGGGGGGTATCCTCAGCCTGCAGTGGGGTGGAGAGAGGGAGCCATGCTAAGCAGTGGAGAATGTGGGCGCACCCAGCCCTCCCTAGTCCTCATGGCCGTCCTGCTGACCGGTACAGGATCTCTGCCCGAAGATAGTTGCCAATACCATTGAAGAACCTCTGGTCCAAGAGGGCCTCGCAGATGGGCTGGTCAAAGACCTTGTCCGCTAGGTTTCGTAACACGTTCTCCCTGGAGGAACACAGCCAGCCCGGGCACATGAGACCCCTTCTCTGCCCCCATCCCTGAGGCCTTGCCACAGGATAGAGAGGGGCCGGGGGTACCTGGATGCAAGGGGAAGGAACGTGGGAGCCCCAGTTCCCGGTTTCCCAGCCTCAGTGCTATTTTGGCAGCAGGAACCTCCATTTCCTTTTTTTTTTTTTTCCTTTTTTAAAGATTTTGTTTATTCATTTGAGAGAGAGGCAGAGGAGAGGAAGAGGAAGAAGCGGACTCCCTGCTGAACTGGCGCCCTCCATTTTCCTATTTATTGGGAATAATTTCCTACTTATTGGAAACACCAGTATGAGATTTGAATTCATTATGAAAGGTGAAAAATACCAATCAAAAGCAATGTGTTTGGGGCACCTGCGTGGCTCAGTTGGTTAAGTGTCTTCCTTTGGCTCGGGTCATGATCCTGGGGTCCTGGGGTCCTGGGATCGAGGCCCGCGTGGTCGGGCTCCCTGCTCCGCGGACAGCCTGCTTCTCCCTCTCCCACTGCCTGTGCTCAAATAAAGTCTTTAAAAAAAAAATGCGGGGCGCCTGGGTGGGTCAGCCATTAAGCGTCTGCCTTCGGCTCAGGTCATGATCCCAGGGTCCTGGGACTGAGCCCGGCATCAGGCTCCCGGCTCCACGGGAAGCCTGCTTCTTCCTCTGCCACTCCCCCTGCTTGTGTTCCTGCTCTGGCTATTTCTGTCAAATAAATCAAATCTTAAAAAAAAAAAAAGCAACGTGTTCAAGGAAACACACAAGTCTGTAGATGTGTGTCTATCACCAAAGACCCTCAGGTTCAAGGGTCTTGGGTGGAGAACAAGGTGATCCCAGGAGCTCAGGTGTGCCTGCAGTCTGGAGCTCCCTGTCTTCAAGGAAGCTGGTACTGGTTCTGTGTAGCAGGTGTGTGGTGACAAGTCCTGGCTAGCGAGTGTCCCGGCAACCCCCACTCCACCTCCAGGGGTCCCCGATCCCTCCTCACCCCCACAAAGAGGAAATGCACCTCGTTTCTTTGTGGGAAAGGTTCCTGGCGAGACTGACTCAGTAACGGGCACGAAGAGCATATGAAGTAGGGGCCAGAAGACAGAGTTTGGGGTAAAGGTCAGTGTGGAGCATTAGCCTAGGTGGTCAGAGCACTAAGGGGAGCAGACCCCTGCACGCTCCCCAGCTGTGAGACCAAGAAAAGAGCCGAAATTCGCAGGTGAGAGAAACTTGAGAGCCAGGTGGCAGAGAGAGAACTTGTGCCATGACTTCCCAGCAAAGTTGGATGGGAGGCATCCAGGACGGTGACAGACGCTTCCCTGGGGTGCACTCAGGGTCGAGCCTGGGAAGGCCAGGAGTCAAGTGCTCAAGACTCCCTGACCCACTCAGGACAACCAAGTCTAAGGCCCAATGGAAAGCATGCCAGCCCCAAGGAAGGGAAGACTGGCTAAGTCCACTGCAGGCCCTGAGTCTGTGATTCTGTCCCTTACAGTGCTTTTCCTCTAGGGCTTTGCAAAGGCTGGCTCCTTTTCCTCGGGCAGGCCTTGGCTCAAACGTCACCTAGAGTCGTCTTTTCCTAATCCTCTCCCCACCGCACCCCCCCAACCCCTGGCCAAGAGTCATTCTCCACTTCTTGGATTTTTCTTCAGGCATGTGTCTGTTTAAATTCATCTACTTTGTTCCTTGTTCCCCCTGCCTTATCTGAACTTTAGCTCTGTGGGAGAGGGACCACATCCATCTTGCTCACTGTGGTACCCCTGACACCTGGCAGAGGGCTTGGCACAAAATAGAAACCCATTCATGTTTCACCTTTAGAAGAAGGGAAGTGGCTGGCAGCGTGCCATCCTCTGTGACACGCATCACATCCCAGGTGGGGTGGTGACCCCTCCGGCAGAGGAGACCATGGGACAGTCACAGACCAGTGGGCAGGCAGAATGTGGGAGACCGCAAACCCGATTCAGAAACGTGTCATGAGGTAGTCCCCTGCCCACCGCTTTGAAGCAATTCCTTCCTGCTCAGCCGCCTTTCTTACCAGGTGGTTAAAGCCCCTTCACCTTTCTTCTTAGCCTCCGAGAAGCAGAGTGGGAGGCTGAGCCCCAGCTCTGACACGAACTGGCCATGTGTCCTCAGGGCAGGCCTGCCCATCCTCCTCTTGCCCTCCCCCCCACATTAGTTGCAGGGTTCCACATCCATTAGCTCAGAGAGTTGTCCCCGGGAAAGGACACTGTCCTGGTCGACACACAAAGGGACTGAGGACCAGAGGGGACTAGATTTGCCCCTCACTGGCCAGCGAGGCACTCACAGAGCCAGGCCCGGAGCCCAAGACTGTGTTCCTCACGCCTGGTGCTGGGCCTACCTGAACTGCTCATACTCCAGCAAGACACAAGGCCCGCGGCCGGGCTGCCACTCGCCCCCGAGGTCCCAGTGGCCGAAGCGGCGGGTATCCACGAAGCAGAGGGCGAGTGGGGGACCGGGGGGAGCTGTGTAGAAGCGCAGGTGGGCATGGGCCGGCAATGCGTCCCGGGGCGCCAGCTGGAAGGAGCCAGACATGCCGAATCGGAAGACCAGAGCCAGTGGCCCCCGTGGGGGCTCGGCCCCAGGCAGGGGGCTCAGGGTCAGGCGCAGCTCCTTGCCACGGGCCGAGGATGAGATGCAGTACGCACTGCTCTCAAAGGGCACCTCAGGGTTGCGGCTGACAGGTGACTTCTCCACACACCCGCCGAACACCAAGCCCCTGCAGGCCTCGTTCACGAAGCGGCTGGCCAGATGCAGCTCAGGGCCCTCAGGCATTCTGTGGGCAGGTGGCTGGGCCCTGTGGGGGGAGGGTGACAGCGGGTGGGGCCAAGTGGCACCTTGTGAGGTAGAAATTATCCCCCCCTTTTATAAAGGAGAACCCTGAGGGCCACAGGGGGCCACTACCAGCTGGGATGGGCGGACAAGTCAACTGGCCCGGTCACAGGTCCTGGTCCCCACCTGAAAGTGCTGAGAAAGCCCAGGGCACTATGGCGCTCAGGCTGGGGAAGCGAGACTCTGCCTTATTTTACACCTTCCATGGGGCTTTCGTGAGCCCCCCACTGCTTTTAGAATAAAGTCCAGATCCTTTCTGGGCCCACACTGTCCTCTCGTTCCTCCCACACTCGCCCTCACTCACTGGCTCCAAGCACCGTCTTCCCAGGCCCATGTCTTTGCCCCTGCTGTCCCTTCAGTCTGGGACACTTGAGAGAGGCCCTCGCCGACCACCCTCTCCGAGGTAGCATCCCCCCGCCCACGAGTTTTCTTTTCATGGCACCCCCAGAATCTGAAATGATCTTGTTTGTTGTCTGCCTCTACCTCCACTCCCACCCCAGAGGACAAGCTCGGCTTGCTCACGACTCCACTTCTTAGGACCCGGCCTGCACCTGCTCCGCAACAACTGAGGGAGGGAACCTGATCCCGCCGGGGGAACGAGAACTGGGAGAAGATGCTAGACACTCTGCCCGCAGCGAGGACCAGCCTGCCACGACGCACTGCTCGGGACCAGAGCGAGGACGAGGACGAGGGAAGGCAGGTGCGCTGGCACCAGGTGCCCACGGCTCTGAGGGAGGAGGACAGGGGTGACAGGAAGGGCTCCGGAGCTCCGGGTCAAGGTCCGGGGGTGGGGGCATAAGGAAGCGCTCACATCGGCGTCGGGGCCGAGCGAAGCAAACTCCATCCCGCCCGCCGCCCCCCACGCCTGGCTGCGGGAGGGGAGTTTCCACTCTCCTTTTTCCGGGACCTGCCCAGATCAAGGCCAGGTTTTGTGTGGGGCAGAGGGGGCATTCAGCTAGGTAGGGCAGATTGCCTTACCCCTGTCCCCCTCCTCAGCGCCGTCCAGGGTCTGGCACCCGAAAGGCTTCGTTTTTCGGGAAAAGGTGAACGTCCAGATTCCTAACTTCCGCAGGGCGGGCACCCACCCTCGTGCTCACCTCCCCTTCACCACCCCGCCCCGTTGCCCGTCCCCGAACTCCATCCCCTCCTCAGCTCTGCAGCACCGCTGCCCCCGGGTAACCTGCTCCCCGTGCGGCTCCCCGCCAGCCGGCAGCCACTGAGAGGGTTAACACGGAGGGGGGGGGGCGGGGAGGTGCGGCGGACCGCGCCCAAGAGCACGCTGGGAGCTGAGGTCGCCGCACCGGCGCCTGCTGGGAAGTGTAGTTTCTCCGGCAGGTGGCAGAGGCTAGCCGGGGTGAGCTGGAGGCCCCCGAGTGTGGGAAAGCCTTTGGGGCTGTCACCTGGCCGGGAGGTGGTGGAGGAACCTGGCTTCCCGCTGCTCCGCGCCGGCGGGATCGGGTCAGGTCTGAGGTCCCGGGTTGCAGCTGTCTCCGTGGCTAGGGGCAAGTCACCGGCCTAGTCCCGGACAGGGTCGGCCCTCCCAGCGGGAAACAGCAAGCAGCAAGGTCCTGAGGCCGAGGCACCTGCAGCTGTGCGCAGGGCGCGCAGGTGCTTGATAAACGCAGGCCCTGGGGACCCGATGGTGGCCCCTAAGAATCCAGGCACAGTCAGACGTAACACATAAACAGAAGCACCATCACCACCTGCCGGGTGGCAAGTGCAGCCAAGCAACAAAAAACGGGCGGAGAAGCAGAACCCACTGCAGATGGTCAGGTCTGGTCTAAAGAGGCCTCTATAAGGAGCGTGCATTCCATCTTAAGTGTGGTCGGCCGGTACAGGTGCCTGATCCATAGCCGGGATCTGCCCCTTCATATTACTTCTGCTTCCTCCTCATTTGGGCGGAAGTATTCTGAAGTAAACTAGGCGAACTGCGACATTGCATCCATAATACTTCAACATGCATCTCTAAAAAGCAATATCCTACAAAGCCACATTTATCATACCTAATAAAATCAGTACCATCTAATACCTAGTCCACCTTCAAATTTCCCTAATTGTCCCCAAAATGTCTTTTATAGCTGGTCTGTTCAAAGCAGAGTCCAATCAGGGGTTATAGGTCTCTTTAATCATTTTTTATTTAGATGGAACCACCCTCTCCATCTCCCACTCACCCCCCCCTTTTTTTTTTTTTGTTTTCATGATACTGACCTTTCTGGAGTCCAAGCCAGTTGTTTTTTGAGCTGCCCCATCACATTCTGGATTTGTCTGAATGTTTCCTTAGACACATCTCTCTTTCCTGGGTGCTCTGTACTCCAAGTTGCATCTCATTAGGAGACACCCAACATCTGGTTGTCCAACATCAGTGAGGCTGAAATTGATCATGGGTGAGGTTGTGACAGCCTGTCTCAGCTTTGTAAAGATATGCCTCACACCTTGTGACCACTAAGTAATCGATGGGGTGATTTCTTTGTTGGTCTGTTTTGTTTAAATTAAGGTATAATTTATATACAGTAATATACACCATTTGTAGAGTGTGAGTTTTGACAAATATATACACTCACATTGACTATGGGCCACAATCAAAGAATACATTCCCGGGCGCCTGGGTGGCTCAGTTGGTTGGGCGACTGCCTTCGGCTCAGGCCATGATCCTCAAGTCCCGGGATCTCCCGCATCGGGCTCCCTGCTCAGCAGGGAGTCTGCTTCTCCCTCTGACCCTCCTCCCTCTCATGTGCTCACTCTCGCTCTCTCATTCTCTCTCTCAAATAAAATCTTTAAAAAAAAAAAAAAGAATACATTCCCATCACCTCCCCCCACCACCGCAATTTGCCTACGCCCCCTGTAGTCAACACATCCCACCATGGCAAGCACTGATCTGCTTCCTGTCCCTAACCTTTTGGCCTTCTCCATATCTCATGAATGGAATCTTCAGTATGTAGCCTTCTGAGTCTGCCTTCTTAGCATAATGCATTGAGATCCATCCATGTTGTTATGCTTATTAGAGGTTTTCTTTTGATTGCCGAGTAGTATTCCACTGTGTAACAAGCCACCGTGTTTATCCAGTTACCAGCTGGGGGGCGCTGGACTGTTTGTGTGAGGGGATTCTTTAGCAAGTATCATTTCACATCACTAAACTTTTCACCTAATGGCTCTAGCATCCTCGATGATCCTTGCCTCAATCAAGTATTTAACTGGGAATTACAAAGTGGTGGTTTTCTCTCATTCCATGTACCTTAGCTGGAATCCTTCTGTAAAGACGAGCTTTACCTCTTTGACTAAAGCCATTTGGTTGTCCTGAAATGTTAAAAAGATAGGATAAATTCTGAATTCCTTCCCTCTAATGATCAATTTTCAGACTAAGAATTTGGTGCAGTAACATCCAATGGTGACAAATTAGGGCTCATTTGGGGTTTTTTGGGGGGAGGGACTTTGCTTTTATAGACTCTTTTCTATTACCAATTCATGGATTTTTTTTTTTTTTTACATTCAACACCAGGAAATCCATTGCAGCCCTTATCTTACCGCGCTGGGACTACACACACACAGGAATACAATTCCCATCCTTAAGAAATTCAGAAGGGTAAAAGTGGCAAAAGAGTAAACACAAAATGACAATGCCATATGACAACCTGTGGGATTCTGTGACACCACAGAAGAGGGAATGCAACCTGGGAAATCAAGCTAATGTGAAACGTTTGAAGAGACTTAGAATTTTCTGTGATCTTTTGTCTGCCACTTTGTTTTTGTTTATTCCACTTCTCTTGTTTTCTTCTTGCCCTCCTGTGGGCTACCTGAATTTTTAGAACTCCAGTTTGACTTATCAGTATTGGTTTTGAGTGTAGTACATTGCACAGCCTTTGAGGTAGTAGTTCGAGATACTATACACAACGTACTCGTCACAGTTCACTGGTGTTGACATTCTAAGTGTAGAAACCTTGCCTCCTTTACCCTTTCCTGTTTATAATAACCTGTTTATAACCTTACATATTTCCTCTACATACTTTAAGAACCACATCCAACAATGTTTTATGTTTTGCTCCAACTGTTGAACATAATTTAAAATGCTCAAGGAAAGTCTAACTGTATCCAAAACTTCACTCCTTCCATTGTTCTTCCTCCCTGATGTTCCAAGATTCCTTATCATTTCCTTTCTGTTCAGAGATCCTCCTTTCGCTTTTAGGTTAGGTCAGCTGGTGACAAACTACATTAGTTATCCTTCATCTGAGAATATCTTGAGTTCCCCCTTTACTCTTGAGGTAATTTTCGCTGAATCCAGAATTCTCAGTTGACGTTTCTTTCAGACCTGAAAAATGTGCTTCTTCCTTTGGGCCTCTATGGTTTCTGACAAGAAATCCACTCATTTGCTTTCCCCCCATAAGGTAAAGTGTCATTTCGCTCTTGCTGCTTTCAAGTTTTCTTTTCTTTAGTTTTCCTAAGTCTGTTGTATGATGTACCTTGGCATGCATTTCTTTGGGTTTAACCCATATGGGATTCATTCAGCTTTGACTCTGCAGGCTTAGGTCTTTTGCCATACGGGGGAAATTTGTAGCCATGATTTCTCTGCATGCTTTTTCTGTTCCACCCTCTTTCTCCTCACCTTCTGGGACTCCGATGACATGAATATTAGATCTTATGTTACAATCCTGCAGGCTCCAAGGCTGTTTTATTGTTTTCTGTGTGTTTATTTCCCAAACTATTTTCTGTTGATCAGGTTGGGTAATTTCTACGATTATCTTCAAATTTATGGACTCTTTCTTCTGTTGTTCAGTCCATTTTTACTTTATTACAGATTTCAGTTCTAAAACTTCTATCTCGGTGCACCTGGGTGGCTCAGTCGTTAAGCGGCTGCCTTCAGCTCAGGTCCTGATCCCAGGGTCCTGGGATCGAGCCCCGCATCGGGCTCCCTGCTCCACGGAGAGCCTGCTTCTCCCTCTCCCACTCCCCTTGTGTTCCCTCTCTGTCTCTGTCAAAAAATAAAATCTTTAAAAAATAAAAAAAATAAAACTTCCATTTCATTCTTTGTATCTTCTATTTGTTAAGACTTGAGGCATTTTTATGATGGCTACTTTAAAATCCTTGCCATACAAGTCAGAGTTCTCTTAGTGTTGGCATCTGTTGTGTTTTCTCATTCAAGTTGAGATTTTAACTCTCGGTTTGTTTGTTTGTTTGAATCCTGGACATTTGGGCTACTGAGACACTGGATCTTATTTAAATCTTCTTGGAGCACTTGGTGGCTCAACTGGTTAAACACCCGAGTCTCCATTTCGACCCAGGTCACGATCTCAGGGTCGTGAGATCGAGCCCCATGTTGGACTCTGTGCTGAGCGTGGAGCCTAAGATTCTGTCTCTCCCTCTCCCCCTCCCCTGCTCACACACACTCTTAAAAAAATATCTGTATCTATACACAAACACACACACATATAATATATATATATATGTATGTGCCAGGGCGGGGGGTGGTGGAAGAGGGGCTGCAGTTTCTCTGTGGTGTGACCGGAGGAGAGCAGTTACCATCTGTAAGTCTCCTGTCTTCCCACATGGCCAGATCTTTCCTGATCCCCTGGCTCAAGAGAGCATGCTTTGGTTGGGCTTCCAGTCTGTGTCCTGGTGTTTCTCAGGTTGCCAGTCTCCAGCACCCAGCCCAGGACACAGGGCGCAAAAAGGAAACCTAAGGACTGCTCTGCTCTGCTGTTCTTCAGATCCCGAGGATCTCAGTGAAATCTGCCTTCTCTTCACCTTTCGGAGTCTCCTGTTTGTTTTATATGTAATGTCCAAGGTTTTCAGCTGTACTTAGTGGGAGGAATGGGGGAAGCGCATCTGCATTTTTCCAGAAGCAGAGCTCAGCACTGGAGTCAGTCCTTAACTTTTTGATGCTTAAAACTGTCGCATCTTTGGCCAGTGGGACAAGCTGGCTCCTCTTGACAGCACTCGTTATTGTCTGGTAGCTTCCCTGCACCCCAAGATGTTCTAGGCCACTTGTCTTAGTCAGTTCAGGGTGCTGTCCCAAAATACCAAAGACTGGGTGGCTTCGACAACAGACATTTATTTCTCAGAGTTCCAGAGGCTGGGAAGTCCAAGATCAAGGAGCTGGCAGACTTGTTTCTTAGTGAGGGCCTTCTCCTGCTTTGTTCTCATGTGGCCTTTTCTCGGTACACGTTCTGGACAGAGTCTGTCTTTCTCTTCTTATAAGGGCCTAACCCCTTCATGAAGGTCCCACTCTCATGACCTCATCTAAATCTAATTACTATCCAAAGCCCCACCTCCTGAGACCATCTCATTGAGGGGTCAGGGCTTCCACACAGGAATTTGGGGGCGGACACAAACATTCAGTCCCTCCCCCCCACTCCTCTAGCCAATGAGCCGTTCAGGCAGGGACCCTCCTCTCTCTTCCAAAGACAGACGGCAGGAAGAGCAGGGCTCCCTCCCTTCTCTCCTCAGGGCGTCCGGCACTGGGGCCACGTGCTTGCTGCCTGCCTGCAGACAAGGCCAGCACAGGACTGCACACCAGAACCCCGATTTTCCTATCTCCACCCAAGCTGTTTCATTGCAGTCCTCGATCTGCCTCACCCCTGACCTGCCTCAACCAGTAGTTGAAAAGGGAAAATGAGTAATGGGTCTGGGAGGTCTGTATGTCACTTGGTTTCTCTCACAAAAACCTTTCATCTGAACCCAAAAAGAAACCTGTGCACACACTCCTTTACACTTCTGTTTATTCTTCCTGCTCACGAAAACTGTTGACAAGTGCCCTTCATGGCGGAGGGAAGGCAATGCTGGAAAAGTCCTCAGAATCCTTATGCTGAATTCTCAAGTGGGAACCTAGCAAGCCAGAGATCTGGGAGGCCAGGCCTCCAGGGTCCTGGAGCTGGGGCCACCCACGAAGAGGAGTTTGGAGGGCAGCGACTCAACATGGGCCCCAAACACCCTTCTCCTCAGCCCAGGGAGCTCATCAGAGTCTGAGCCTGCTTCAGTTCTGCAGAGGCAAGAGGTGAGCAGGTGGGTGGCAGTCAGGTGGGATCTGAGAGGGCCCCTCCCCGCTCCAGGTACAGCAGAGTCTCACCTGCCAGGAGGACCTGGAACTTGTCTGCTGAGAGAGACATGGCCACAGGCCGGGCTGGGGCACCCGAGGCAGCTGCCACCTCCAGCCTCAGGTGCACCATGGGCTCTTCCACGGACCGAAGCAGGCTGGAGCTCAGGGTGTAGTCCACCCGCCAGCCCACACCTGCCAGCCTATTCACTGTGAAATGGGGGGGCTCTCAGGATCACAGGCTGGTAAGCCACACAGCCCTCAGCCCACACCTGGCTCCGCTCTTGACCCTTCAAGGCTGTGGGACCTTTGAGAACCTCTCATCCCTCTGACCCAGGGAAGGTGCTCAATAATCAGTAGTGAGATTATCCACAGCAGATCTCAGAGGAAAGAAATCTGGGCTGGAGTCAGGAGTCCTGGCTCTGTGACTGCTTGACTTGTGACCACGGTCAAGTCTTCTTTCTGAGAACAAGCACCTCCCATGCAGCATGCACCTTCTAGAATGGAGTCCATACCCCGCCCCGGCCCCCTCCCACACTCACCACGCAGGCTGCAGGCCCGCAGGTGCTCCTGTAGGGGGCTTTGCTTCTCCTCATAACAGCGACACAGGCTGGCCGCGTGCTCTGGGGACAGAATGGAGGCCCCCTGATGTAGCAGGTGGGGGCTCAGACTGCTCACAGGGCGGGTCTCAGGCTCCTGGCCCAGAGGGCAGGGCACATCTCAAAGCCACTTGGCCTGGCCTGCTGCCCAGCAGCCCCTGGCACACACGCCTGCCTGCATACCCGTACCTTTGGGGAGCCCCAGCTGCTGCAGTTCACTGGACAAGGACTCGCCATCCACACTATGCTTGGCCGCACTGGAGAGGATGAAACTCAGCACTGCCACCGTGGCCTTGACATCGCCCGACTCTGGTGGGGGGGACCCGTGGGTGGGGGAGGGGGTGTCACTGTGGCCTCTGCCACCTTCTTGTTGCCCCACTATTCAGCTCACAGCACAGCAGTGAGCACTGCTACTGCCCCCCACCCCCGGAACTGGCAGAGGGCGGGACTGACGACACCGGTGTTCCCCCTCTGCTGAGGCTGGGGGGAAGGGGCCTCTGTGCTAAGCCCCAGCCCGAGTACCCGCGGGGGCCCAAAGGTCTGCGGACTCAGTGGGGTACTCACCAAACCTGGCATCAGCGGTGAGCTTCAGGATCTTCTCGTACTACGGGGAGAGGAGGCCCTCAGAGGGTGCCAGGCCCCTGCTCACCAGCCGCTTGCGCCCCAGCCTGCATCCTGATCGCCCACCTCCCTGGGTCTGGTGCACTTTCAGGGCAGTAGGGATCACAGGGTCATGGGGCAGTGGGGTGCTGGGCCCCGCACTCACGTCAATCCCCTGTCCCAGAAGTTCCTTCAGCACTTGGCTACACAGCAGCCTCAGCTTCACGGAGGACTGGAGGGGAAGGCCTTGCATGAGCCCAACTGGCCCACCCACCCCTCCATGCTGGGGGGCTGGCCACACGACTAGAATCACACAGCGGGCTAGGACAAGCTGAGGGCACTGAGGCCCCAACCTCAGAGTGACCTCCCACCCTCCAGCCCGATCCCTGCCTCCTCCCACCCTAGAAGACCCCGGGCACTCAACAATCTTGGCCAGCGTGCTGATCTCCGCCAGGACCCAGTCAGGACAGTCCAGATCACCACAGAACCGGAACCTCTGCACAGGAGTGAGGCAGCCGGTCAGGATGGACGGCTGAGGTGTGGCCACGTGTCTCCCCCATTATTGCTCTTCGGGGATCCCTGTTCTCTGTCCAACATGGGTGCCCTCTGGCCACTTGTTCTCGCCTATTACCAGGCTGTTTAGAGAACCCTCTCACGGACCCACCTGCCGCCGAACCTTGCCCTGCTGCCTGTCCTAGGCATTCACGTGTTCGGCAAACACTGACTGGGGCAAACTTCTCTGTGGCAGACCCCACTCTAAGCGTTGGGGGTACAGCACAGAACAGAACGTCCTTGTCATGATGTCAGTGGCCCCCCCACTTCCTCCTTCTCCCCCCCAGCCCCAACCCCACCCCCCCGGCCTCCTGCAGCTCCTGGTACACCAGGCACTCCCCCACCTTGTGCTTGCTGCTCCCCCACCGCCCCGCACAGCCTGTTCTCATGCCTCATTCCGGCCTCTGCCCAAATGGCTCTTCTCTGACCATGATTCCTTCCTCCCTCCCTTCTTTCCTCCCTCCTTTTTTTTTTTTTTTTTTAAGATTTACTTATGTGAGAGAGAGCACGAGAAAACGAGAGGGAGGAGGCGAGGGAGAGAGAATCTCAAGCAGACTCTGCACTGCGCACAGAGCCTGACCCAGGGCTTAGTCCCAGGACCCTGAAGATCACGACCTCAGCTAAAACCAAGAGTCGGACACTTAACCAACTGAGCCACCAGGCGCCCCTGACCATACTTTCTAAAACAGCCCCTTGCACAACGAAATTTCAGGGGCCAGTTGGTATGGTCATTATCTTGATCGTGGGAACATACACATTTCACAACTTATTGAACTGTACATTTATAATGTGTTATTGTTGATTTTATCTCAGTAAAGCTATTAACAAATAAAATAGCTCTTCTCCATCATGCTCTAGCCCCTATCCTTCCTTCTTGATCTCCACAGCAGACATCACATTTATTAATTATTCAAGGTCTGTCTCCTGTTAGAATGCAAACCCACCCTGTCGGCCACATCTTGTCAATATCCTCCATTCCCTGGATCAATTGTCCTTTGTCCTGTCTGCCCAACAAAGCTCTAGGGCACAGCAATATACATGTCCAGCTTTCCACACCTCTTACATGTGGGCTGCTTACAGATGCTGGGAACAAAACCCCGCAACCTGAGGATACCTCACACCCACGTTCTCCTGATTCCGCTGGGCCCTCAGTGCAGCCTGGCAACACCATGTCCTCTACGTGGCCCTACCAGTCATCTTCTCAGCCACTTCAGACCTGCTTCACAATCCTTCAACCACCAACCCTCTTGCTCTTTTTCACCTGACCCCATGGCACTGGTGTTTCTATGTGGGCCTCCCATGAAGTCCCCTAGCCATGGTCACAAATGACTGTCACTAAATCTGGCCTTCCTCTTCCCCAACTCCTGTACCGGAGGGAGGCAGCTGGTCAGGATGGAGGGCAGCATCCCACATGAACCCGTCCTCCCTGGTGAAGCAGCATACTCTCCTGGATTTCTCCCTGTCCTGACCTCGGTCTCATTTGCTGGCTCACCCTCCTTCCCCCAACCCCCAGAAGGGGATCTCCGCACACTGCCTGCATCATTACTCTGGGGCAGGGGCCTGGAACAACGGGTGAGGAGATGGGGTATTAAGGACAGTCTTGCACTTCTGTCTCTATTTCAGGAGTTTTTAACCTTTTTCTGCCATAGCCTCATCTGGCATCTGGTGAAGCCTATAGGCCTTTCTCAAAACCATGCTTTTAAATGCATAAAATACACAGGATTGCAAAGGAAACTAAGTTATCAAAATAGTCAAACAAATTGGTGATGTGATGATGCAAGTCTAATACCCATCATAACTTAAAAACGATCTGCATAAGTATGTGAACAATGTCACCAGCTGTAATATGATACAAAAATATCTCTAATTTCTATTGGTGACAAAGTCAGAGGTGCTGTTAATACTGGGGTTGGTTGCCAACGTTCACAACTAAAGGAAATGCTAAATTTCAGTTTGAAGTTAGTGAAAATTAAGATGTGAGATTTTTCCTAAGTTCACGGGCCCCTGACTTCAACCCACAGAAGTCTTCTACCATTTCTGTATTATTTACATTTTTTACAAGACTGTGTTCCTCGTGTAATTTCTTAAAATGCTGGCATTTCTCTAGGTTCTGCCCTAGGCCCTCTTCCCAACTCACATCACTGAGATGTTACATGTTTTTAGACTTACAATGACCACCTTTGTGCTGATGACTCCCCAATTTATAAATGCATTGTAGCTTCTCTTCTGAGCCTTAGACCCTTAAATCTAGACTGTCTTCTAGCCAGCTGCACCTGGTGGCTCGAAGAAACCTCACACAGCGCCACCTATCAAAGTTAACATTTGCTCTTTTGCACTGAAACCTGCTCCACTTCCTGTGTTTCCCACCCCTCCGAGCACCACCACCTGGGAGCCAAGCCCAGACACCGCGCTCTCCCTTTTCTCTCATGCACTTCCCCACTTCTATCTCCACTCTCTCTGCCCTAACTCAAGTCACCACCATCCCCTGGGGGTCTGCTGCCCCAGCTTGGGCTCTCTGCTCCCCTCCTGCTCCCTCCACAAGTCAGCCGAAAGGATTTTCCTAGCTGCCTAGTGCCCTCTTCTTAAAGTCTAAACTCCTTTCCGTGCTCTCAAGACCCAGCAGGATTTGGTCTTTGTTACCTGTTGAGCCTCATGTTTCACTAACCTTCAGCTGATACCCTTCCAGCTAGATGAAGTGCATCCATTGCTAGCGAGCATGCTCTCTTTCACCTGAAGCCTTTGAACATGCTGTTCTGTCCGAAGATAGAGCCCCCCCCTCCCCAAGCCTCCTCACCTCTGGGACACAAACTGCACTGTAGCCAGCCAGTTTTCTTCCCTGCCCCCAGGCCCTCCGGTGGCTGTCACCCTCAGGAAGCCTTCCTAACGCTACACACAAGGCACAGTTAGGTCCCTTCCCCTCAAGTCTTAATTAACTATGACTGCCAAGTCAAGTCTCTTGCAGTTTAAGCCCCAGTGCCTGGCACACTGCATGGTATAGAGTAGGCACTCAAAGCCTGTTGAAGGAATGGATGGATGGAGGAGTTGAGAAGCCCCAGCCCCACGTCTACTCCTTTCTGGCTCTGGGGAGGGTGAAAGGACTTGCGAACAGGGCGGAGACTGAGCCTCATTCTATGCAAGTTCTTCTCCAGGTCGCACAGGAGGGCCGGGAAGAGGGCACCTCTGGGAGGTCGTCCCGGGGCCGAGGAAAGCCTGGAAGCGCTCCCGCCCTGGGCAAGCTCCACTTCCTGCCCTGGAGGGTGCGGGCCCTTCCTTCCCGCCGAGGAAGCACCGGGACCCCAAGCCCGCGGCCCTTCCGCCCTGCCAGCCGGACGCTCGGCCCTCACGACCGCACCCAGGTGTCGGCCGAGGGGCCGGGGCTGCCTCCACCTCCCCGCCCGGGCGCCCACTCGCCCGCCGCCCCATAGGCGAGGGTCGGAGCCCTCCCTGCCCGCCCCGGCGCCCCGCCTCCGGTCACCCCGCGGCCCTCACCATCGCGCCTGGAAGCCGGCCCTCCTCCTCCGGGTGCGCCCGGTCAGCTGACGCGGCGGTCACGTGGTGTGGGCGGTGCCTCCAGGGGCGGGGCGGGGCGGCGCCCGGGCGAGCGCCGAGGGGCGCTCTGGGAGCTCCGGGGGGAGAGTGATGAGCTCGCTCAGTTCCCGGAAGTGACCGGCGCCACCCCGGTCTCAGGACGCGGTTTAGCTAGGAGCCGGAGTCCGGAGCCCTTTCTGGATCTTGGAATGATGCCCTTGTGAAGGAGGGTTCAGGTCGTTCCCTGTTGCCCGCCAGTAAGCCGAGCCCTTATAGATAGCTATAGACTGTGGCAAAAGGCATTTAAAAATTTTACTGAAGGGGCGCCTGGGTGGCTCAGTTGGTTAAGCGACTGCCTTCAGCTCAGGTCATAATCTCAGGGTCCTAGGATCGAGTCCAGCATGGGGCTCCTTGCTCAGCAGGGAGTCTGCTTCTCCCTCTGACCCTCCCCCTGCTTGTGTTCCCTCTCTCGCTGTCTCTCTCTCTCTCTGTCAATTAAATAAATAAATAAAATCGTTAAAAAAATTTACTGAAATATACACGTAGAGAAAAATGTACATGTTGTAAGTATAAAGCTTAAATGAATTTTCATAAAACTGTACAGCCTACGTCCCCAGCACCCATATAAGGAAACATTACCAGTGACCCGCATAGCTCCTTCGAGTGTCTGAGTATTATATTTCATTTTGATGAATTCCTCTTAGTTGCCTTAGTTACAATTGGCTGTAACAATTGACATGCTCAGAACTCTCCCTGTGGCCTCACCAACATTAGATGTTTATCTTAGTTTTTCTCAATCGAATGGGAGAAAGAGGTTGTTTTAAGTCTCAGTCGGCTTACTGGTGAGTTTGAGCAAAGGATGTACTAGGAAAACTAAGTTTCCAATATTCACTTAAAGAGGTAAAAACAAAAAACAAAACAGCAACAGCACCAAAAATATCCTAGAGAATAGACTGATAACCAAAGAAGAAATTGAACAATTTGAGATCTCTTTTCAGTTACATATCCCACCCCCCATAAACCAGGCCCAGCTGGTTTTATTGTTGCAGCCTTTCAAGCTTTCAAAGGACAGAACCCATCGCAATTAAACTGCTCCATAAATAGAAAAAGAGAGAAAGCTTCCCAATTCATGCTAAAATTGATCTCATTTATAAAGAGCTTTTTAAAAATCATAAACATCAGCATGTTGAAGTCAACAGTGTGTTAACATACTACACTATGTCAAAGAAAAACTTCATCGTAAGAATTATAAGTCTGGTTCAACTTCTGTTTCATCATATTAATAGGTTAAAGAAAAAAACATTGTTGATAGACTTGGAAAACCATTTTTATTCAAAGGAGTAAAAAGAAAAATTGGGAATAGGTGGAAACTGCCTTAAATTGATAGAGTATCTGAAAAAGGAAAGAACAAATATGAGACTTAACATCAGACAAAGTATTTAAATCTGGAGACAAGGCCAAAAGGTGGGTGGTGTGCCCTTTTAATGTCATACTCGAGCATTGTCTCACAGATTTGTTTCATAAATAGAGATTATTTGACTATTTAGAGCAGTGGTTCCCAGGCTTTACAGTGCATCTGTATCACCCACAGTGCGTGGGGAGACAGAGGTGCTTCCCACCCTCAAAGTTTCTAATTAAATAGATCTGGGATAGGAAAGGAAAATGTGCAATTCCCTTAAGTTCCCAGGTGATGCTGATGCTTGGGCTTTGAGGACTACACTTTGAAAACAATTAATGTAGGAAAATGTACCTGATAAGTTATATGTTAGCTTATAGATTTCTGTCTAGTAGAAAAGATAACCCCAAAGATTACAGTTTTATCGCCCTGTAAGACATTAACAGACTTTCTAATTCGACACACACTAGAAATGCTTCTTCTCAAAATGTTACTTGAACTTGCTTTACCATCGTACTGATTCCCTCTTGATTAAATATTTGACACGCATTCTTTCATTATTTGTATGACAGTCATGTTTTTTACTTTTTGCAAATTAAACTTTGATACAGTACACTAGCCCTGAGCAGGAGCTACTCATATACTTCAATCCTAGACTATTCCCATTAAAATCAGTAGCAGTCATGTGCCAGCATTACTATGATCCAACATTATTCTAGATGCTTAGGCCAGTGGTTCTCAGGTGGGGGTGATTTTGCCTCTCAGGGGTATTTGGTAATGTCTGGAGATACTTTTAGTTGTTACAACTAGGGAGTGCTGCTGGCATCCAGAAGACAGAGGCCAGAGATGCTGCTAAACATCCTACAAGGCACAGGACATTCCCCCATAACAAAGAATTATCTAGCCAAAAATGTCAATCGTGCTGGTGTTGAGAAACTCTAATTCTAGATAAATAAAACATGGGAAGACCATTAGCATAAATGTTGGAAAAGAAAAAACTCGTATTTGCAGATGACAGTCTGTCTTGAAAATTCAACAGAAGCACCTGAAGAAAAACTAGAAGTCACGGAACACCAGTGGGGGGGGGGGGGGGGGGGGGGGGGGGGGGTGGTAGAGCATTGTGTGAGGCTCTCCCGGCTTACCTGGGGCAGAGGAGTCAGAACCCCACAGGTGGAGAGCTGGAGGCAAGCAGGGGAGCCCAGGCCACATCTGTCTGATCTCCTGTCAGCCTGAGAGGAAGCCAGAGGTCCCAACTGGAAGGTCTTTTTTTTTTTTTTTTAAAGATTTTCTTTATTTATTTGAGAGAGAGAGAATGAGAGATAGAGAGCATGAGAGGGAAGAGGGTCAGAGGGAGAAGCAGACTCCCTGCCGAGCAGGGAGCCCGTTGCAGGACTCGATCCCGGGACTCCAGGATCATGACCTGAGCCGAAGGCAGTCGCTTAACCAACTGAGCCACCCAGGTGCCCCCAACTGGAAGGTCTTGAAAGCCCTGGCCCAGCCTGGGGGTGAGGCTGGGGGAGGCGCAGGGTGAGCCCAGCCACTGAGCCCATAAGGGGAGGACCCCAACGAGAACCCAGGAACCCTGGGACTTGCTGAAGACCCTATTCATTTGCTTCATTGACGGCAGTGGAAAACCAGTTCAGCCTCTGGCCAGGATGTGTTTTTGGCTTCTAACACCAAGACCCACCTTACCTTTCCCTCTCATCTGCTGCCAGTTGAACAGCCCCACATCAAAGGTGAGTGTCTCCCTTAGAAGGTCCGAGGGACTAGGAACACAGGCACCAGGGTCAGCTCCTTGGGCTGGACCAGGTGGCCAGTCACAGACAAGCCCCAGTGGACCTTCACCATCAGCTGGGCCCTCCTGGACCACATAGCCGTGACTGGGGGCAAGGGTGCTCTAGGGCCCTGGGGGATCCTGGAGGGATTTCAGGAATGAGCTCTTCCTGAGACTGGCCCTCCTTGCAGCACCCACAGCAGCCTGACCACGCCCAGACACACTGCAAGCCCCAGTGTGAAAACACTGAACTTTGTACCCACCCCACCTCTTAGACTTGGATCCCTGCCCAGGGGGCTGCTAAAAGGGGAAATGCTTCCACCCATTGGGGAAAGGTCCTAGGAAGTCACCTTTATCAAGATTGGCCCTTCCTTCCTTCCTTCCTTCCTTCCTCCCTTCCTTTCTTTCTTCCTTCCTTCACTCACTCACCACATACCCACTGTCCACTTCTCTATGCCAGGCTCTGGGATGATAGGTCAAGCAGAGCATCTGTCCTGGGGAGTTCCCCTCTCTGAAACCATGATGTCCTCCGGTGGGCACCCAGCGCTGGGGGAAAGGGAAGGCCTCACTCACAGGAGGTGATGGTGTGTGTGAATGTGGAGGGGGCAGTGGGAGCAAACTTAGGGTGAGGGTGTCCAGGCAGAGGGCCTGGCTTGTGCATGGAGGGCTTCCTCATTCTGCCAAATATAGTCAACCCTGGCTAGATCACAAGGAAAGGCTTCATGTTTCTTAAAAATGATATTTAATACATTAAAATTATATAACTAGGGGTGCCTGGCTGGCTTAATCAGTACAGCATGTGACTCTTGACCTCAGGGTTGTGAGTTCAAGCCCCACATTGGGTGTAGAGATTATTTAAAAATAAAATCTTAAAAAAATTTTAAAAATTATATAACTAAAAATGATTTTCATAATAAAAATCACAAAATACAACTAAAAGTCAACCTACAGTATGGGAGAAGATATTTGCAAATGACATAACTAGTAAAGGGTTAGTATCCAAAATATGTAAAGAACTCATACAACTCAACACCCAAAAATCAAATAATCCAATTAAAAATGGGCAGAAGACATAAACAGACATTTCTCCAATGAAGATATACAGATGGCCAACAGATACATGAAAAGATGTTCATCATCACTCATCATCAGGGAAGTGAAAATCAAATACACAGTGGGATATCACCTTACATCTTTCAGAATGGCTAAAATCAAAAATACCAGAAACAAATGTTGGTGAGGTTGTAGAAAAAGGATCCCTCCTACACTGTTGGTGGGAATGCAAGCTGGTGCAGCCACTCTGGAAAACAATATGGAGGTTCCTCTAAAAGTTAAAAATAGAACTATCCTATGATCTAGCAATTGCACTACTGGATATTTACCCAAAGAACACAAAAACACTAATTCAAAGGGGCACATGCACCCCTATGTTTATAGCAGCATTATTTATAATAGCCAAACTATCAAAACAGCCCAAATGTCCATCGATTAATGAATGGATAAAGAAGATGAGGAGGGGTAAATGGCTAATAGACACATGAAAAAGTGCTCAACATCACTTGGCATCAGGGAAATACAAATCAAAACCTCAATGAGATACCACCTCACACCAGTCAGAATGGCTAAAATTAACAAGTCAGGAAACAACAGATGTTGGCGAGGATGCAGAGAAAGGGGAACCCTCCTACACTGTTGGTGGGAATGCAAGCTGGTGCAACCACTCTGGAAAATAGTATGGAGGTTCCTCAAAAAGTTGAAAATAGAGCTACCCTATGACCCAGCAATTGCACTACTGGGTATTTACCCCAAAGATACAAATGTAGTGATCCTAAGGGGCAC